GCCAATAATTTACCATCAATATCTGAAAGGTTGTTGCCCTGCAGATTGAGCATGTTGACATCCAATACTGCATTCATAATACTACATTCCACAAACATTTCATTAACAATCCTGCCTGATAAACTGCAGTAACTCATGTCAATATGGTTCAGGTTTGGAGAGATCTTAACAAGGCAAGCTAATATAATTACCTTATTGTTCATAAATATTCAATCATTAAACAGTAAAGATAATATACAGTATACAATATACAGACTATCAACAATATAAATTTAATTGACTCAAAAACGATATTTACAATACAATTACTGTTTAACTATTTTGTGTTAATAATCTTAGCTGTAAATATAATATAGAGTACTACAGTGTTACGTCACGATACCATGTGACACTACTCTGATGCTATCGTTGCAAAAAGCGTTCAACCGGATGCCATTTTCTTCACTGACACACCACTGATCCCAATTTTTAACATAATTATTAAGCTTAAAGTAAACTTTAATTGATGATTAATGTGTGTTTGATAACTAATATAATGCAAGCTTTTGTGTTTCTAGTACATTTTGATGGCAAAATATTAGATTTTAAAATGCCTATTCCAGAAAGCCTATGAAGCCATTAAGGTGTAATGAACAGTAACCAACGTCTGTTGTGAGTGCCACCTGGCTTCGTGATGACACGACTGTGGTACTCTATATTATGAAAAAAACCTTAACATGAATGTTTTTATAACAGTACTGCTATTGCTTCATGTTATATAGAATAGAATAGAAATCTTTCTTTATTCTGGATACTCAGTCAGTATTAGTACACTGTTCTTCCCTGAGGTCCAGGGTATGATCTTAAACTACTTTAAATTAAAAACAGAATTGATAAAGAAATATATAAGTTACATAAATATAAGAAGCAGAAAAAAGATTGGTAAATTAAATTAGATTTTTAAAGGATTGTAGGGAAATAGAATGAATATTACTGCGGATATCTGATGATAAATTGTTCCATAAATTAATCGGTATTTAAATGTTCTTTCTCCAAAATCATTCTGCCATTTTGGTGAGATCAAAGTGTTTTTTGATATGCTTCTTGTATTTATGTTATGATATTCATCGATTAATTCGTAAAAATGTGTTAAGTATGCTGGAACAGTTCCTGATAAGCATTTAAATGTCATTACAAGAATATTATATTCCCATTGTTTGTCCACAAGCTTCCAATTTAGTGATTCCATAAGATCATAAACAGGCGTTCTTATATCAGCTTCCAAAATAATTCTGGCCAGTTATTTTCAACTACTGTACTGAACTTTCTATTTGATGCCTAATGAAAGCATAAATAGAGTATTAAAAAAATAGTAATAATTCTTTATTTGTCGTCAAATACAATAAACAATGTAGAAATAATAATAATAATAATAATTCTTCATTTCTCTCCAAATGTAATAAACAATGCAGAATAATAACATAACAGTAATAATAATAATAATAATAATTGTCTCCAAATGTAATAAACAATGTATAAATTTGGGCTTTGTCCAAGGGGACCTGTGTCACCCACAATGCAGCACTACTTTACTTCAACATACAACAGGTGTACATGGTCCTTAAACTCACCTAAATCTTTTGAAAGAGTTATTCAATGAGCTGAGCACGTGTAAAACACCCAAATTCAATACACAGTGTACCAATGTAGGTCTTGATGGAAAAATAATTGTTCTGGATTTTTCGGTATATAAACTCATATATTTTTGTGTCTAGCATTGATGATGAATTTCCATAGTGCCCTTGTTTATTTCAATAATACGTCCATAATTAGGCACAATTTCTGTAGGTACTGTACTACTGATGTTTCACAGAACTTGAGAACTTTGTAATATGTAGTTACACTATTTTTATTTTACATGTAGAGATTCCAAGATGACTGACTGACATTAGGATAATCTGAACTCTGCAAGTGATTTACCATCAATATTTGAAAGGTCATTGCCATTTAGACTAAGCATGTTGTCTTTCAATACTACATTCATCCTACAACATTCTTCCATCATTTCATTAACAATCCTGCCTGATAAACTGCAGTTACTCATGTCAATATGGTTCAGGTCTGGGGAGATTTTAAACAGGTGAGCTAATATTTTACCACTGATTGAAGACAGGTTAATCCCACTCAAATTTATCATTACCCAATTAAATGTTATATTTTCACCTACAGATTCAACCAGCATTTCTAGGTTACCAGCTGTAAGAGAATAATCACTCCAACTGAAAATGCCACTCTTATAATCATAATAATAATCCAAATCAAATTGACAAATTACCCTGACTAACTCTGCAAGTGATGTGCCATCAATATCTGAAAGGTCATTGCCCTTTAGACTTAGCATGTAGTCTTTCAATACTACATTCATCCTACAACATTCTTCCATCATTTCATTAACAATCCTGCCTGATAAACTGCAGTTACTCATGTCAATA